GACCTGGACGTATCCCGCTCGCCGGGCTAGGCCTTGCACAAATATGGACACGCTTGCTGAACCACAGCAGTTATATATAGTTGTCGGAGGGGGATGTTACGCCTACTTGATGGCTTCGGGATAGAGTCAGAGGTTGTTTCAACGCAGTAGCGGGATACTGCGGCTATATCGGGGGGGGGGGGGGGGGTACGTCTACTTGATGACTTCGGGACAGAGTCATAGCAGTACAGCTCACTAACAACGCCAGATGCATCAGCGTCGAGAGAGCTACCGCTGCCGGCGACGCGTCTATGTCAGGTTACCCTCGCTATGTAACGCTCCCCATTATCCCGGGATCAATGGCGCATTTTTCAGAGCGGAGCTTGAAATCAACCGCCAGCGCCAGGCATCCCACAAGCCAGTGGAACTGCTCCACTCCGCCAGCTCCATCGCGGAGCGGTGTGCAGACCGATTGTCGTGTCCCCGTCCCACGCTCTGTCGGATCATTGAAAGTATATGTCGTTGCATCGGCTATCCTTTTAAATACCTATCCCTAAACGCTCAATTACCGCACGAATTGCCAGTGAGCAGGGTGGCCAACGAAAACCGTTATTTGCCTTCAAGAGTAGCGAAAAAGATATAGTGTACGGGACAGAAGCCAGCCACACAGCAGTAACATCACACGCCCATATTTTCTTGACAAAAATTAGCGCCAAGGAGCCCGAAGACGCACGTGACCTGTAACAACTCGATCCTACCTGGGTCTAACAGCTTGAAGGTACGCGAAAACGTCCAGCTTTGCAATGTCGTCCGCAGCGCTCACCCACAGCGACACCACCGGGTATCCCGTCACCTGTTCGTGGTTCGTTTGTTGAGAGGGTTATGTAAAGCGTGCATCACAGCAGTCTTTCAGGATGGGCGGGTGCTTCGTAAATGCTACCCTTAGACTGCTGGGGCTCTGTCGCTAAATGGACAGATGGAAAGATGGGAGAAGAGCCAACCATGATGACAACTCGACGGGATGAGGCACACCCATGACAACAAAAGACAAAAGGGCAAGACAGAACCAAGATGGAGATGAGGTGTAAACGATTCTAGCCACGGCGAAAATGCAGCTTTGCGGCTATCCCTTGCTCTTTCCAATCCCTCCGCGTGAGATCAAGCGTGTCGAAGACATGGGGTCGTGACTACTGCTGTCGCTGCTGTCGCCCTGTGATGATAAGTGTAAATCTGCAAAAGTTCATGAACCAATCAAAGCAATCGTACAGCGAACTTGCTGTGCGCTACAGACACTACGGCGACTAGTTTTCTAATATTCTTCTCTGCAATTCCGCACCTCTATGTCCTGTCTCAGCGGCGCAGAGGTGAAGCGCAAGTGGTTCGACCGCATTCCGTCCATCTGAAGAAAAAATAAATGAGCATCACCATCGTCGTCATAATCATGAGCGTCGCCGGAACGGAACCGCCATGCCATCAGCACCGAGATCATTGTCACCGCTACAGCAGGGTTAGGGTAATCAAGCCATGCCAAGACAGCAGAGACACAAGCACCGACGCGACCTCGGAAAACAAGAAAAAGGGCACGGAAAAACAAAAAGTAGACAAGCATTTCGAGAGGAACGGGCCGACCTGCACCCTTCCGGAAGTAGTGCACGTGGGAGACAAAACACTACCGACACCGATTACAAGGCATGGACCGTCGACACGTCCTTCGACACGTCCTTCGGTTGTCCACCTGGTAGGAGATGAGGCTCAAGAACTCGGTCATGGCTGCCCATCGGCTGATCCCTTCGCCGTCGTGGTCTTCCAACATGTCCACCTCCAGCTCGTGGGTCCTTGCTTCCTCTTCCCGCGCCCCCGAGCCTTGGGACAGCGTCAGCTTCGTCGTTGCCACGGCCGGAAACAAAAGAGCCCGCCCAAACGTAGGGTTAGGGTTACGGTTAGGGTTAGCTTAAGGACGCGGTCGCTGTTTTGTCCATGAACGAGCACAGTTGGATCGTTTCACGTGTCCTTCGCGACCGTCTGTCTGGTCTTCATTTCGCGAGCTGCATTGCCATGGTCGCACCACCGCAGCTACGATCCCAACACCCCACTGTAGCGCCGGCCGGTCCAAAAACACGATGCCCCATAAACTCCGGGGCGGGGAGAAAAACGTGCATGACACTGCCGTACGCCCTTGCGTTGTACGCGATACTACGTATTCACGTCGAAGACAGAAAAAACTACAACGACAGTGGTGGTGGTGAGGACGCAACTTGCATGGCTAACCCAAAGAATACCCTGACCTCTGTACCCCACCGCTGCTAGTCGCCAACCACCACCACCGCCCCTCACCCTGGGTTTCCTGAAGGATGGCCAGCTTGTCAAGCGTGATGACAGCCTTACCCTCACGCCCCGCTTAGCCTCCGCACCGCTCCCGTCCGCCGCAGCCTCGCCTCCGCTGCTCCCCAGCTCACGTCCAGTCTGCTCAGAGCCCCCACTACCCTCGCCCCCCTCTACCCCTTCAGCGTTAACGCCATGGTGGATCGTTGCCGCACCCTCCCCCTCTTTCTGCGCATTTGTTGCGGGTCCCCCTGGGACTGTCTGCTTGGTGGAGAGCGGGTGTTGTTCCGTGTCGCCTAGGAACAGCAACACGTCGGTCCTGTCGGCGCGATCCGAAGGAAAGTCGGCGGAATCGTGCCATCTTTCTTCCTGCCGAGCAGGACCATGTTCGAAAACAGCAACCAACCGCGGAGTTTTATTGGTGGTAGGGGTGACAAACAGACACTTTGTCAGGAATAGACGGCAGTAATTGAGACACGGGATCCGAAAAAGAGGGGGCTTTGTGCAAAAATAGAGCGCTATCTTATGTACCTGGAACGTCACACCCACCGTTCCCACTAGCAGGCAAGGTAGAGCGCGCGTGCTACCACGCAGCTGCCACTGTGTGCGAACGTATCACCGCATGCATGATCTGTCCAAGCGCCAATGAAAAAAAATGTATTTTGGAAGGCGACATGGAAAAAGAAACACCTCCTTGCCTGTTGCGTGAAGTATCTGACATAAATTAGCCGTCGGAATAAAAACAGAAACTGCAGAAAACAACTTCTTTTGGAAGTTGAGGTGGAAGATAAGGTGCCTCCTGCCTGTTGCGTGAAGTGTCTGACATACATGATCTGTCGGGAGTACTGCAATAAAAAATTAAAATGCGTTTTGGAGGGTGACGTGGAAGATAGAATACCTCCCTTGCCTGTTGCGTGAATTATCTGACATACATGATCTGTCGGGAGTAGATGCCTTTTGGAAGTGACGTGGAAAAAAAAACAAAAAAAAACGCCCCCCTTGCCTGGTGCTTCCCCCCCGATGTTTGCCATCGGGGTTGGGTTTTCGTCGCTTGGCAACGACGTGTAAAACAAGCCAATTCACTTTGTGAACTCGGCAACCAGGTTACCGTTTTTTTTTTTTCCTCTGTTTTTTTTTTGGCGGTAACCGTGAATGGTGGTCAAGTAGATCATGTTGTGCGGGGTCGAGAACCCTCACTCCGCGCAAGGGGGATGATCGCACCACGTTGTGTTGAAATGGTCAAGCACCCTCGAGGCAGTTACGTGAAAGCACCAGAAAATAAATTAAGTCATACGCAGCTGTCATCCGTACGCAAGGAAGTAAGCACAAGATGCCGAACACCCTTAGCAGGATACAGCGCACCCTTCATGCGACTCGCCGAATACCTCACGGCGCTTCGCGCTTGGTGATGTGAGAGCCTGGTCCGGTGAGAACCCGGCGTGCTCCGTCCCGGCTTTGTAGGGATGCGAGGTCAATGGTCAAACGACTACGGCATGCACGACTATGAGTACACCCGCCCCCCTTGCCTGGTGCGTGAAGTATCTGACCCTAGGCCGGGCCCGCCTCCACAGGGCCTTCGACTCCTGGCTCTCATCGAGGAGAACGCTCGCGCCGCCGCCGCCCTCCGCAGCAGCGTCAACAGCCTCCGTCGCCCCAGCATCAACAGCAGCGGCGGCATTGGCACCGGCATCGCCGCCGTCTTGCAGCAGAGGCACAGATGGAGTGGGCGACGACGATGACGGCACGTCTAAGCGCGTCGGCGTGGTATGGGCGGGAGAAGAAGAAGCTTGGGCATCTCTCGTCGCTGTGGTTGTCCCGGCCTCCGCCGCCGTGCTGCTTTCGAGAGGCGCTTCTGGGTCGGCCGCGGGTGCTTTTGCCGAGTCCGATGCTTTTGCCGAGTCCGAAGGGTTGTCTTGGGAGAGACGCTGAACCAGGAACCCTGAAACTTCGGTCTTGAAGTCAAACCTGGACGTTAGTTGATGGCGTACGCGTCCGGCGCGCGGTACGGTGCGGCGAGAACGACGGAACCAGAGAGCAATCGAAAACGAAAGAATAAACTGGTGGTCGTGATCATGGGCGGGGAATTACCAAAATCGTGCGGTGGGGACCAACAGAACAGGAAGGAATATGCTGACCGTCGCAATCATTCACGGAGATACTACCAAATTTCAGAAACATCACACGGGGTGTCAATCCTTCCCAGGGAAGCGAATTGCGTCACCAAGACGAACATGAGACAGCGATGTACGATAGCGCCCTCGATAACTTGTGTTTGTATGCAGGACCGTGATGACTACGGCAGCCGTCGCAGGCCGGACCTAAGAGGGAAGGATTGAGAAGGGTAATAGAGGTTACAGTTACAGTTACAGTTACAGTTACAGTTACAACGATTTCCAAGGTGATGGCGACAAACCAATAACGACGTCGACGACAATGACAACAACGTCGACGGCCACCTACAGACGTACAAAACATAACATATGGTAAGAAAAACTGTAGTTCGGGTGCGGATTAGTTCTTCTATGCGGAAAAACGACCTACAGCAGTACAGCAGTACAGCAGTACAACGACTACAACGACGGCGATGACGACAACGACGATGGCAGCAGCAACAGCAACAACAACTACCATAAGACGGGTACTGTACTCACTTAGACAGAGTCGTGACGTGGTGAGGCCGGACGTGCTGGTGCCCCCCATGGTTCCAGGGTCCAACCAGAAGCTCCGAGCCTCTGTCGGAAAGTCGCCGAGGGAAAGCACAAGACTTCGATCACCACGTGATAACAGAAAAATAGCACCGACAAATCAATCGCCGCTGTGCTAGTTCAAGACAACAACGAGTTTAGGCTATTTGTACCTCGAGTACAGGGTCACGGGTACGGCTTTAGGGCTAGTTTCCACAGCCAACACCGCCGCATGTAGATCGATCGCCCCTCCAAGTGGATGATCGTTGCATTATTGAAAGCGTTACCTTTTTTAAATGTTTTTTCCTTCCATCTCGATGCCCTCAAAAAGAAAGCCCCCACTCCCCCCCCGGTGTTTGCCATCGGGGTTGGGTTTTCGTCGCTTGGCAACGACGTTGTAAAACAAGCCGCCGCCCCCGGTGTTTGCCATCGGGGTTTGGGTTTTCGTCGCTTGGCAACGACGTTGTAAAACAAGCCCCCCACTCGGTGTTTGCCATCGGGATTGGGTTTTCGTCGCTTGGCAACGACGTTGTAAAACAAGCCAATTCACTTCGTGAACTCGGCAACCAGGTTACCGTTTTGTTTTTTTTACCTCGGTTTTTTTTTTGGCGGGTAACCATAATGGTGGTCGAGTAGATCATGTTGTGCGGGGTGGAGAAACCTCACTTCGCGCAACGGGGGATGATCGCACCACGTTGTGTTGAAATGGTCAAGCTTCCTCGAGGCAGTTACACAGTGCTTACAACTTGTCTCTGGAAGTAAAAGCACCAGAAAATAAATTAAGTCATACGTAGCTGTCATCCGTACGCAAGGAAGTAAGCACAAGATGCCGAACACCCTTAGCAGGATGCAGCTCACCCTTCATGCGACTCGCCAAATACCTCACGGCGCTTCGCGCTTGGTGATGTGAGAGCCTGGTCCGGTGAGAACCCGGCGTGCTCCGTCCCGGCTTTGTAGGGATGCGAGGTCAATGGTCAAACGACTACGGCATGCACGACTATGAGTACACCCCCCCCCCCCCCCCCCCAGATGGGCGATTTTTACAGGGTATTATTGCGGAATAGGACTACAAATATGGCCATGAACAACCGCTGGCCAAAACGTCACCCAAACCAGCCACCTCAGGCGGCCCGGACAGAGGAACCCCTAGGTCCTGCGTCTGGAGCGCTTCTACTGACTACGTGTGCATATGAGCATCCGTAGGCCGCAAGAAAAAGAGGTAGGTATTAGGTCCAAACGCTAAGTGGTCGGACATCATCACTCACCTACAAGGGAGTGTCGTGAAGGCCATTACCGCGGCGTGCGCAGACGCGTCAAGCCATCCGGACACGTGAAGGTAGAAAGGGAGGATCTTGTCTAAGTTCTCTTCTTCTTCCTGCTGCTGCTGCTGCTGCTGCTGCTGCGGTGTCTCCTCTACCATCTTTTCATCACCATTCTGTGCTTGTCCAGTGGCGCCGTCGTTTTTCTCCTGGTCGTTCCCTTCCTCCTTCTCTTCAAAACTGCCACTGGTGCCGCCACCAGCCACTGTTCTCTCCCCGCCGCTAGCCTCGCAGCCGCTCTCTTCCATGCCGGGCTTGCCGTGGGGCGTGGAATCAGCCTTCCGCTCACTATTCTCGTCCGATGAGCAGTCCGCGCTCAGTGCCGAGGTGATGCCATCAAAATTTGGCGGTGATGCCTGGAGAGAAACCGAGTTACCAGCGTTGAGGTCGGGAGGGGGGGGGATACTCATGTAAGCGCATGCCGTAGTCATTAGACCATGTAGACCTCGCGTCTCTACAACGCCGGGACGGAGCGATATGCCAGGTTATTGCCGGCCCAGGCTATCACATCACAAGGATGAAACAGAAGCTGTCGGGGGGGGGCGGGGGGGGTTGTTGTACAATCTAGATGCATGCCTATGGCTCCGCAGCCCGTCGGGTGGCCGCTGGTCGGAAGAAGGTGTGAGGACAAGCGCGTCACGCTATCATAGGATCACAGAGAAAAATACTGCTGAAGGTCTCTCTTCTTTGAAGCGTCTCCTGCGGAAAGAAAATAGATAAGTGGAGGTTGAGCACATAGCATTGAGCCCCACAACTAATAATTTTTGGTTACAAGATGCACATCAAACCCAACGTCGGTTCTTCAAGAAGCTCAAACCAATCGCACGTTAGACCGCGCCAGGTTTCCCGTTCTCCGAAATCAGCCAGTAGGATATCGGCCGCTCTCTTCATACCACAAACTCACAACCTAAGGTTTATTAACTAGCAGAGATGCAAAGCTAAATCAACATTTGGCTAGATATGGGGATGACGATTATTTTTCACCATAGGCACCGAGGGCAGACGAGGCTGACCGCCCGTAGCCCAACGCACCAAGGTGGCGCACGAGGGTTCCTCGGAGTCAGGGCCACTACCACCGCGTGGGTTTGACGACGGCCCTGGAGCGGGGCCGCAACACCCGTGCCTCTCGGCGAGGAGATTTTGCACGGCTTGGCTGGCGCAGGCAGACCTGACCACGCGGCCGGTCTGCCTCGACCTGTCGTCCATGTACCGGATGTGGTCGTCCTCGAGAAGACTCCAGTTGTCTCTGTTGACGTAGAGAAGAGGGGAGACGCAGACATGAACAAGGGGGTATGTAATGGCTTTCCGGAGGGGCAGCAACGTTGACGGTTTCTACTAGAATAGAAGACGTGGCATGTACATACGTATGAGGTTTTTCGGAGGGCCAGTTGACGGTTTATAGAAGACGTGGTATGTAATGAGGTTTTTTCGGAGGGTCAGCAACGTTGGATGGTTTCTATTACAAGACGTGGCCGATCTGTCGCAATTTACTCCAATATGTATCAATAGCTATCTCTATTTTTTGGGGGGGGAACGTTGGCGGTTTCTAGAGAACGTTGTCGTTCTTCCTTCAAGTACTCCAATATAGCTGTCTCTATAACAAATGTTCTGAAAGGTGAGGGACTATAAGAAGGTTCCAAAGTTTAGTTGTCCGGAAGGTTCAATGGCGGGCCTGTTCAGAAAGGGCTTGCACGTGACATGATCGGCCTAAACTTGCCACCAGCTGCGCAAAAAACAAATAACTTGGAGTAGATACACCGCGGATGAAGGGTGATCAAGTTCCACCGGAACAGAGGGGTGGGTCGTCTTTAGGTAGGGTCTGTCAACGACGTGACGTGTCGAACGTACTTTGATTGATGGCTTGGTTGGCGCGGGGGGGGGGTCTCCTTTATTAACAACAATGTGTCGCACTTATGTTGGTTGATGACTGAAGTTTGGGAAGGGAGGGGGGCTCTTCTCTAGGCAGACAACAACAACAACAACAACACGTCGCACTTGTGTTGGCTGATGGCTTGGTGGGCCTGGTACCCCCAAGAATCCTCTGACTTCACCGGCGTCACCCCTTCCAGGAAAATTCTCGCCATCCAGCCCGTGCTCTGCACCCAGCCGGAGTCCAGAGAGTCGTTAAAACCCTGCCGTTGCAAGGGGGGGTACGCGGACAACACCACAAAAAATAAACAGACTCTACATTATTATTTACTTAGACAAGTCTTGCCAACGCTATGATGCTCGCTCACGTCCAGCGCATCCCCCTGTAACGCGTCTGTGTATAAGTAAAACGTCTTGTTGGAACCTTGAGAGCAAAGGAGTTGCGTAAATCGGCCTTGGTGCGTTGGTGTAAACACTGCTCTCTCGGCCACCATGCCTTGTTGACGCCGCTCCCACCTGCCATGACACCGAAAAATGCCTCATCGGAACCCCCCCCGGGTGCGAAATGTCGTCGTACACGTCCCAGAAGAAAAACATGGGACAGCAGCACACCTGATGGTTTCGTGCGGCAGACAGGGTGGAAATCGATTTTTCGCGTCGAGAGTCCGAACTTGAGAAACGCGACAATAGTACAGAATTACGCGAAGGAACGAACAGTTCAAAACAGACAGACTCATTAAGGATCTGGTAGGTGCAACGGTACGTTGCTTTGCGCTTCAATCAAGGACAAGAAATAGACTTCCTCCAGGAGCAAGATCACGGGGGCTCGCGATAAAAGCAGCTGAACATGTACCCTAAACAAGCACATGCCAACCCGGAGCAGGGCGGGTACAGCAGTGCTTTGACATACGCTTCACCAAGAACAGTAATAGGCTTCCTCTAAGAGCAACGTCACGGGAGCAACACAACAGGCCACCATGGTGCCTTAACCAGGTACATGCCAAACCGGAGGACGGTGTTCTCGTTGGGTACAGTACCAAGCGGGGGGCGACGGAAGCGTACCACCCACCACACTGGGGTGCCTGAGCAGCGATGTGAAGAAAGCACTCGTGCCCTCGTAGCTGACGCCCCAAAGCGCCACCCTTCCGTTGCTCCACGATTGTTGGTCGATCCAGTCCAGCACCTCCAAGGAATCCTTTCAAAACAAACAACAACCAACACACACAGGAAGGGTAAAAACTACACTGGTGTATTCTTAATTTTATTGCGCTATGAAATCGTCGCTAAAACGCTTGTCCTGGACTCTTTATCTGTGGATGGCGATGAGTTATTTTCTGGGTGAAAACACACACACACATACATGGCCTTTAGAATCATTTTCTGCTTTCAACCGCACTGAGACTTTACCTCTTTTCCTTGGTCAGACGGGTAGCGCGGCCGATGCTAATGATAAAAACACAAACACACAATGCGCTACTACTGTATAACATAGAGTATATTTACATGTTGCCCGGTCTTGCACCTGTTGCTCTTCGGGGCTCCATGGTCCCGGGTGCGTCCCGAAAGACGCTCCCGTTCCGCGGACATCAACAGAGACGAGAACCATGTCATGAGACAAGAAACTCTTGAAGAAGGGGTCGTTGATGAAGCTGATTGGCTTGCCGCCGTTGACGAAGAGATTGAAAGGCCACCGAAGGGTCGCCGAACGGTAGTACCTTGAAGGAGGTGTGGGGGCGCCGGCGGATCGGAAACTACTGTATGTTCTTGCCGATCTATTTTTTTCCGTGTTTGCCTTTCATCGAATCTCCCGTCAGTCTACACTGCTGTATGAAGCGCGTTTCTTTAGGGGCATGGGTCGTGCTCTCGTTCATGATTTTCACGGAACCTCGTGCCCCATGGTTTCGACCATCGCAGACAATGGAAACACGATGCTCCTGTACATTTGCACTGAATTACGCCAACAACAACGACCACATCCACCAATACTACGGCAACCAACACAATTAGAGAGCCACATGCATACGGCAATTTTTGTTGTACTGGCACGATCCAAAACCCGGACAGCATGGCAGGTGTGCGATTATTCTATCTACCTGGCCTGATGGAACACGACCGGCAGCGTTTTCCTCTTCTCCAGAGCCTTGAGCGGGATCCAGACGTCCGTGGCCAGCTTCAAAGGTGGTGTGATGAGCAGAACAACACACGCCACGCGGGCACGGCACCAACAAGGGATTTGGAAGGGGAAGGGGAAGGAAAAGGGCAAGAAAATGAGTAACTTCTAGAGGTGATGTTAGGTTTTGTGGTAGGCCCATGGCGACATGCCGGTAGCAAACAGAAACGGCGAAGAAACATGCCAGGCAACAAGACATGAACGGTCCACGGCGAGGGCCATACAGACACAGCAGTGCCCGCGCTTCAAGAACTTCATACTCAACACTTTACCGATCGCAAGAACTTGAGCACCATTTGTGAGCCCGAATAAGAATCCCTACACTCTAAAATCTATATAGCCATTTGTAGTCCTCAAGAGGAACTAGAACCTCGGCCTCGGTCAAGACTAGCACCAGAGGTTCTTCAGTGAGGGCGCTATCTGTACGGGCATGCGTGGTCCCTGGCATTAGGGTACGCGACGCATCACTGTAGCTGTGAATGCCACTGTGTTTTCTACATTAATGATGGCACGCCAAAGGCAACAGAGGTGCGCGGGGGAGCTGAGGCTGCACGCGTTGTCTCTCTCTCTCCCGGAAGCAGAATAAGACATCCAGGGAAGCGAGAAATAGCATGTAGCATGTCGACCTTTTTCTTTGTCAGAACGTAACAGGAGACAATACCTCTCTGTCTCTGTCCTTCTATCTGTCTTTCTGTCTCTGTTTTTGTCTCTGTCTCTGTCTCTTTCTCTGTCTCTCTCTCTCTCTCTCCCAGTCCATGGGTCTGTCTATCTGTCTGTCTTTGTGACTCTCTGTCTCCCTGTCTTTCTGTCTGTCTCTATCTCTCTCTGTCTCCCTGTCTGTCTGTCTCTCTCTGTCTCCTTTTTGTCTGTCTGTCTGTCTGTCTGTCTGTCTGTCTGTCGGTCTCTCTCTCTCTCTCTCTCTCTCTCTCTCTCTCTCTCTCTCTCTCTCTCTCACACACACACACACGCACACACACAGAAACACATGACGCCCCCTCGCAGGGTCCCAGTTTCAGGTCGACGCCAATAACAAAGACACACGCACGCACCTTGACACCATCCCTCGTGGTGATGTAGCATGTGCGTAGCTCGATGTCCTTGCGCATGTTGAGCTTCTTGGGGCTTCTCTTCTCCCTCGCCGCAACATCGTCCCCATCATGTAGCCCCCACCAGTCATTGGTCAAAACCTCGTCCTCCTTCCCGGTGCCCAAAAAACGCCTTCGAGCCCTGTTGCAACACCACCAGTGCGGATGATGCCATGAGGATATCGACACCGCCAAGTAATCTTAGAAGAATGTTATCGACAAGGGGTCATTTCGAGGACGCCCACAACTCAGTTAGTGGCTTATGGAGCTTGATGGTGGGGGTGTAGGGGGTGCTTTCCCTGCGGTTGGACTTCAAAGGCAGAGATTTTGAACTGATTGTTTTTCCAGCAGTACTGTACGGTACTACTGTACCTGATACCACGGAAGATGCCACCTTTTCACAGGCTTCTAAGCTAATCGTACCTCGCTTCTGCCATTGTACCATTGAAGACTGCATTTTGTCAAAAAAGCCTCTGTTTGTCGGCCACTTCTAAAAACAATGCATCGGCAGAACGGTCCAACGAGAGTAAAACTAATTCTTGTGACATGTGCTGACTACTGGCTGTACCGAACCAGCTGACTCCATGCGCCTACCTCTTGGGAGGCAGGACGACAACCGCGTAGAGCAGCAGCACCAGCGCGCCCACCACAAGGGCAACCACGTACACGACCACCACGGCCGTTCGCTTCAGCACCACCCGAGTCCCGTGCAGCGTCTTGTGGGTATTTTCGGAGAGCTTCGAGCCTCCCGGGTTGGTGGTGAGAGTGGTGACACTAACATGACGGCCGCCAACAAACGCCGCGTCCTCGTCGTTTGGAGCGGACGTCGCAGACATGGTGGCGGTGACGGTATTTCCCCCGCGCTGCCAAGGTCTCGTCACTGTTGGTGCGGGGCCAGGTCTAGCGATTCATGTGGCAAACGGGGTTGCGCAGTCCCGCTGCTGTGTTGGGGTCTGTAAAGAGAGAGGTTTGCGCAGGTATGAGGTTCAACATGTTTCCTGGCGCAGACTTGCTGGGTGTGACGCGCACAAGGTGTGTGGACTGCAGTGATGAACATAGTGACTCCAGTACACGAAAAAGGCTCTCAAACCACGATGACTAGCAGCAGAAGACAGCTCATGTTTCGTAGCGACGGGTTGGTGCTCTGACTGCTCTCCGTGGCTGCCGTACAAGAGTTGGTTGCAGTGCGAACAGTCGCGACTTCGTTGCTGCTGTCTCGAGCATACGAAAAAAATGCGGAGAAATATGCACCCCGATGTCTTTCCGCCTCAGCAGCCCTGTATTCTCTCTGAGACTTTTGTGCCGACAGACAATATGGTACGAAGAAAGCAATGCAGTCTGCACTGTGACCACTCTCACCTACACTCTGCTGCCTGGGTGTGCCCTCTCGTGCTTCACCCTTCAGAGAGCGAGTGTTCGCGAAAAGGCGGCGGGATAACCTCTTGTGTCATCTACGGAGATTCGGGTGTTCACGACCCAACCAGAGGCATTTCCTAGAAAAAGCCCCGTGAAATCATTTATTTATGTACGTACCCCACGGCTTGCTTTGCCTCGCGACCGCGCTGGCTGGCGCGCTTTCTTCTCCAGCTGCCAGTGAGCGCTTGTAGCCTACACATCAGAGACCCTACAATCAGTGCATTTCAATTGAGGATCTGATATATTTCCGTGCTCTAGCGTGTAGTCGTATTCTAAGGAGGGAAAAAGGAGGCAAGGAACGCTGCTGGATTTCATCTGCGTGGAGCGGATCGGGTGTGGGGTGTGGCCACTGCGAGAGAGCGAGCGATAAGCGACGACAGAGAGCAGGGGGTGCATAACAGCTACCTCTCAGGGTTTAATCTTCCCGGCACGTACGATGGCTCAAGCTAGGGGGTCGAGGATAGGTGAGGGAGTTGGGGGGGGGTAGAGAGGAACGGCCGACTCGTGTTTTGTACTGAGCAACTTGCTATGCGATGAGAGCGTGGTACAGAGTAGATCGTGCTTGTACACTGGTATGTAGCATGCTAGGCTTGCTGTATTTCGTCACCTTGAGAACGGCAGACAGCAAGGCCGGTTTGGCCTACGACACCCTTGCTTGTGGTGCAAGCCCCTGGGTTCGTGTCTTTCGAGAGTGCATCTGTGTTGTGTCGGTGCGGCTCTCCTTGTCGGATACGAATTCCGCAACAACAGAGTTGCTTGTAGTCGCAGGTGCAAGCAGCTGTCTCTTCCCAAACGACGAGAGATATCTGTCTGATGGTGCCTTCTCGCAGCAACGAAACATTCGACAGCTTGCCGTGATACCGGGGCTGAATGTTGGGCGAGTAACGAACAACGCGACACGCCTGGCACAAGCAAAATCGCCGTTGAAATCCGCTACATCGTGCCACTACCACCCCGTTGTACTGTGGTTTGACGGATGATACCACCCCCTCCTGAGCGAGACGAGCCCTCCCTCCCCCCCCGCCCGCATTCAAGCAAAGAACGATTGCTTCATTGCCATCTACTATTTGGAACATTCATGGCAACAATTTTTCGAACGCGACCAGTCCTGGCGTTGCTACCCTCGCCCTTGAAAAACATTGAGCGGTCCCAATATGCACAGCAGATAGCATTTATCGTGTCTTAGTCCGGACCAGAAAGCAGTGGTATCGGTATTGCTAGGACCGCCTCTGGGGGCTAGATCGGGTCGTGGGGATTTATCCTGTGGTGAGCTCTCCCGGTTGCCATGCCCTATCAAATGTTCCGCTTTCACGCCACATTGTAGAAACATGTACCGTCCAACAACCGCAGTGGTTGTTGGGTTCGTAGGGGGCAACTGCTGCTGTTGGCGTCATCTTAGCAGTTGCATGTTGCGGTTGTATTCGTACACATGCAGGCCAAGATGGGAGAGGATGGCGGCGCGATGTGATGCTTGCTGATGAGGCTTGACCACTGTAGAGACGCGAAATCCCTGTTTTTCCCCTCCTGCCTCTGCTGTCGTAGTGTAGCTGTCGAGGTGCACATCGAAGACAAACACGACCGATTTATCCCGTCTACACAACACGCAGCATCATGGGAAGACCTGCTGCAGATGCGGAAGTTTGTTTTGCTCATCATTGCACATCAACCTGGGAGTCTGGCTTCCAAGAAGACTCCGTCTCAGGCTGTTATACCCATCATCGCTGGGTCAGACACGTTGATCCTTTGTGATGGCAGTAAGGCAATATCCTCCAGTCCAACACACCGTGGGTCCAGTCTTGCGATCTACTGTACCTCAAACATGCAACAAAGCAGAGAATGCGCCTAATCGCGCTTCTCTCTGTTGCTCGTTCTGCTGTGGTGTATCTACGTTCAGATTTCGATGAGGACGAAAACATCGAGTTCACCATCGAGGGCGATGTCGAGGTGAGATGAACCGTAGATTACGTAGATTCCGTAGTAGGCGTGCCCGCTGTCGGGCGGGTGAATCGACCTAAGCGCGTTCCGGCCCTATTGAGGTCGGTCGACTGTAGGTGGAAGCGAGTGACATGGCAAAAACGCGGTGTGAGGTATTCATTTTGACAAACGTTTAATGTGCACAGGTAGTGGAGAACTTCGACTCGATGGGACTGAAGGACGAACTTCTGCGCGGGGTTTACGCCTACGGGTTCGAGCGTCCCTCGGCGGTGCAGCAGAGGGCTGTCAAGCCCATCACCAGCGGGAGGGACGTCATCGCCCAGAGTCAGGTGGATCGTTTGTCACATACGTTTGGTTGGTTGGGCCCTCTTCCGATCTGTTTTCGCTTGTGTTGTTTTTCGTTCTGTTGAATGTTTGCCAGCAACAGAGACGCCAGTGCCACGGGTGGTTTATGCTCTTGCTGCTTGCGCGATCCGTGTTTCTTAGACGAATCTCGAAATGTCCCCTGGCGAAGACTTTGCAAGAAGGCGTTATATCATTCGTTCGACGACAGGAAGAGTGCCGTGTGCGATGCCCCCTGCACCGGCGACGCCTCGCAGTCATGCGGCGGAGTTGCCGCGTTCGACGTTTACCGGCTGACCCGCAATAGACGGCCATGGACGGATCAGCCGGTAACGTCGAAGGCGGCCGCTCCGCCGCATGACTGTGAGGCGTCGCCGGTGCTGGGGGCATCGCACAAGGCACATTTCCTGTCGTCGAACCGAACCTGACACGGAGCACCCTTTGCTTTCATCTGTTAAATAGTCACTCCCTGTATCACCTCATCCCGTATATGAAGGACGCTGACCATTTCTGCGCGCTGTGTGTCTCGTTCTTTACCCCTACCACGTCCTTCCTTCCATCTTCCACGACACACATCATCCACTGCCGGGTGCCATCGTCCACTTCAACTCGCCGATTGACCGCGTGATGGCAATCATGACAATCATGACAATCGTGTGATGACAATCAGTCGGGGACTGGTAAGACGGCAGTGTTCTCCATGGGCATCCTACAGATGCTCGACACGACTTCGTCCGACACGCAGGCGCTCGTGCTGTCGCCAACGCGCGAACTGGCCGAGCAAACTCAAAAGGTACGATGCGATAAGTTTGGGTTAGGTTCGTGGATTTGACAATTGGCCGATGAGGGGCAGGGATGGGGACAGCTTTGTTGGTGTTGGTGTGATTTTTTTATTTGTTGGTGAGGTGAATATGGTCGGTGGACACTACTGTATCCGCTGCGGGTCCTCGTGGTCCTGCAGAATATTTTTCGATAGATACTTTGCACATTGTCCGCGTAGCATGTTGTGCAATTTTTTTTTTCCTCTGGGCTGTGTTTATTTCGCATGCGGCTGCTGCACACGGTCTTTTCTGCTACTGAACGGTGGCCTTCTGGCGTGTTGGTTGGGCACTCTGGAATTGTTGGTGATTGCATGCGTTGTTCATCCTTTTTTTGTGTTCTTGGAGCAGGTTATTCTGGCGCTGGGGGACTTCATGAACGTGCAGTGCCATGCCTGCATCGGCGGCAAGAGCATCGGAGAGGACATCCGCCGCCTCGACTACGGGGTTCAGGTGAGGTTTTCTAGTACTTGACCGACCTTACTGCAATATTATAGTCAATGGCCCTTTCGTTCTGTGACGGACAAGAAACCGCAGGACCGTCGTGGTACTGTAGTGCACTACACTCGACTCCTGTTCCGTTGACGAGGCATATCCGTCAGTCTCACGATCGATTTGCACGTCGAGATGGCTGCAGGACCAGTGTTTCCTCGACGTCCCCTGGCTTGGTGTGCCCATCGTGTCCAGAGATGTCTTGCCACGTGCATGACGCGTCAGCCGCCTGGTACACGAAGTTGTTGTTGGCTCGTACATGCAGACCAATAGCTTGCGCGTGCGCTGTCCTGCCCTGCCCCTATCCTTGGGGTTTGATTCTCTTGGTGATCTGTTTTCGGCTACGTTTTTTTTGGACGGAACAGAAGGCCTAACTACTGTTGCGTTTTCCTGCCCTGCCCCGATCCTTGGGGGGTTTTGGGTCGACTTTCGGCTGCTGTTTTTTTTTGTCCGGAACGTTGCAGGTGGTGTCCGGAACTCCCGGACGTGTGTTCGACATGATCAGGCGCCGCAACTTGCGCACCCGCAACCTCCAGGTGATGGAGCGACGGAGCGTGCCGGAAGTGTTTGGTTGTCGGCTGTTTGCGTAATATTGTGTTTCAACCTGGCCACAGATGTGTAAACCGTGTTCTCGTTCCTGTATTGAGCATGTCGGATTTTTGGGGTTGGCTGTTGGCGTATTGTGTTTCAATCTGGCCACAGATAAATGTGTAAATCGTGTTCTGATTACTGTATTGAGCTTGTCGGATTGTTGGGGTTGGCTGTTTAAGTATTGTTTTCCAATGTGGCCACCACATGTGTGCTTTATCATGTATGCATACCACATGCACCACGTGTTGTGAGTACTGTTTTCCGCACTTTGCAAGGCTCTGTCTGACCCTTGGCCCTCTACATCTAACTGCATACCACGCGCCAACACGAACACGTGTGCAGATAAATATATGCATCTTTCGTCCAGGAATTTACGCCCTGGAAAAAATTGTCTCGTTTTCGCGTGGACTTGTGTGTGTCCAGATGCTGGTGATCGACGAGGCGGACGAGATGCTCAACAAGGGCTTTAAGGAGCAGATCTACGACATCTACAGGTACCTGCCCCCGTCCACCCAGGTGGTGCTGATCAGCGCCACGATGCCGCAAGAGGTGCTGGACATGACCAAGAAGTTCATGAACATGCCCGTCAAGATCCTCGTCAAGCGCGATGAGCTCACCCTCGAGGGCATCAAGCAGGTAAGCAGGATACCGCCACCGTCGACATGAAGGGTGGTGAAAGCGGCAAAGGGAGCAGCATCGTCAACAACAGCAGTAGCGTCAACTGACCGAATGAGCACAATGGGGGTCCCTCAATAATGCCGGTTGACTTATGCCACTGCCCGGTATAGTGCCGATGAAATCGCGAGACACACGGATGGAATATTCCGATGTTGAAGTGGTCTCATTCTCTGAATAGTGATACGATAGTGCTGGGTGCCCTGTTAGCGCCGGTGAATCTGGAGGGTACATTCCGCAACCGCAAGCTGAGGGACCCCAACTTTAGGAGTATGGTAATGAGGGTGTCGACGATAGCCAGAGTGACAGCGAGACACGAGAGCAAGGTGTTTGTCAAACGCGATGAGCTAAATGTTGAGGCCGTAACCAGGGTCATGGCTCCTGACAGCAATGCTGGCCTCAAAATCATGGGGCCTCAACATCTAGCTCATCGCGTTTGACAAGCACCTTGCTCTGGCTGTCCCTGTCACTTTGTCCGTCATCATCACTGCTGGTTGCTTCGACTCAAACGACGTTATTGTTGTTGATGCCTTGGCCAGATCTAGCCCGATGCTGTACGGCTAGGAAGGTTGGGCGAAGGCAGACTTGGGAGGGCCAATTGCACCGTCGTTCCCGCTCAAGCCCTTCCCCTGTTATCCCTCCGCTGCCTGTTTCCTTTCCCGCAAACTCTTACCGAAACTCCTTACCCCTGTTACCCTTGATGACCGGTTGATGGTAAAAATAACAAGTTCTTCGTGGCGGTGGAGAAGGAGGAGTGGAAGTTCGACACACTGTGCGACCTGTATGACACACTCACCGTTACTCAGGCGGTCATCTTCTGCAACACCAAGCGGAAGGTGCGGTCAAAGTATGCATAGGACGATGCAGCAGTCGCTAGTCCGTGAGAGAGTGGGAGGGTATTTGGCGTGAATGGCGAGGGAGGCCTGTGTTGACGGTGCCTGGTGGTGTCGGTGTCGCCGTGGCATCATTCAAGCGGTCGCCTTGGGCGAGGCAGGCAACACCACAGGCTGATAACAATGGCTACGTCGGTGGTACAGCAGCAGCAGCAGCAGCAGCAGTACCACGAGCAGTACCACGACCACCACCACCAGCAACAGCAGCAGCAGCAGCAGCACTGCGCGAATCGACGAGACGGAGAGAGAGCCTCCCTCCCCCGTCGGGTATTGTTTGTGATGTTGGTGCAAAGCGCAAGCAGGCGATGTGATGATACGGATAGATACCGCCGCGGCTGTTTTGCGGGTCGTGCCGTGCCCTGTTGCATACGGTACGCCACAAGGCGGAAGTGTTCGGCGCGATATAACCTGTTCTTGTCGAGATGAGCCATGCCATGCCATCCTCGTACATCCTTCTCATTGGAGAGTCTGGCATCATCTTTACCATTCCGTTGGCTCCGCCGTGCCGTTCTGCGAAGTACTTATGGTAGTAATGGTGTATGCGGTGGCAATAGTGCTGCTACGCTTTGTGCGGATGCCCCCATATGTGAAACTGAAAAACGCTGAGACGCCTTGCCCTGCATGCGATGTGTAGCACATCTTTTGGCAGTCCGGCGATTGATTTTATTTGTCCCATCATGTTGCTCATGTTTGCTTCGTACTGCTGCTGTTGAAACGTTTGCTGGACCGCAGGTGGACTGGCTGACGGCAAAGATGCGCGAAGTGAATTTCACTGTATCCTCCATGCACGGGGACATGCCCCAGAAGGAGAGGGACGCTATCATGGAGGAGTTCCGCTCGGGGAGGTGAGGCGTCTTCCATCGCAACAGCAACACCTAGACCTGCTTTGTTTCATGGTGTGCCGAGCAAGTGTCGGGATGGGGATGGATTGAATGAAGACTCTGTGCGATACTTAGGCGTGCAGCTTTTGTGGCCGGTGTTTTTTTGTTTTTTTCCACACCAAGGTTAACGTAGCAAAAAACAACATGGAAGAGGTCCTCTCGGGGCGGGGAGGCATCCTCCATAGCAACTCCTATTAGCAGTACTTGTAATAGACCTACGTTATCGGGGGTGACATGATGCAAGATACCACGCCCCGTGGACCGACTGCTTTTCAAAGGTCGAATACTTCACGACGAAAAGGACGCATAGATGAAACGGTGCGTTTTCGGAAAGCTCTCGGCGAGGCGGCTCCAACGCCGCCTTTGCCGGCACCGCCACTGCTCTGCTGTAGAGAAGTAGAGCTTTGAAAATCGAACCTGGCGGTTTGATAGCTTACGTCACCTATAGGATAGTTTTATGGTGTGCGGAGGTTTGGGATGGAATTGGGTTGAAGACTTGGTGCGACACTCAGAAGTTCAGCTATTGTGGCCAACACTTTTTCCCGAGCCAAGGTTAGTGTAGCAGTAATGACGATCGTTGTTGCTCGAGATCCCGATTTTGATCCGGTAGTCCAGTAGCTCGACGGCGCGTTTTTCGCTCCATGTTTCGATGCTGTTGTGCAGTATCGTGGGGGTTATGGGTATCGGACACGCTTTCACGTCCTAAACTCTTTGGTGCTATCACTGCTCGCCCACGAGCGTAACATTGATGCGCAACATCTCGTCGACAGTGCTCGGGATTCGCTCTTCATGCAACAGTACTTCGGGGACGATCTCTAGATATTTTGAGTCTAGATGTCATCGCGACCAGAGTATTTTTTTGTTCGCCTCTGGCAGCGCCTGCTCACACGCGTCAATTCGCGCGGCTATAGTGGGCGCGTCTGTCATTTGTACCAAGTACCGCCTCTGTTTCGCCCTTTTTTTGATTATTATTTGGTCTTTAGAGTTGCGTACGACTTGTTTGGGTAGTTGGCCTGTAACCACGGAAGGTGTCCGCGTCAGTTGGACCGGGGGGTGTTAGGAGGAACTGAGCAGAGTAGTACCGGACCGTTTTTTTATGTAAAGATAACAACAACAACAACTTCCGACCAACATCCAGGTCCCGAGTGCTGATCGCAACGGACGTGTGGGGGCGAGGTCTAGACGTCCAGCAGGTGTCGCTCGTCATCTGCTACGACCTCCCCAACAACCGAGAGCTCTACATCCACCGGTAGGCGCTCACGGTAGACTACATCCCCGGCAGGGTTACCCGCGGCGATAGATGGCTTGTGCCTTGTTGGTTGCTTGGCTACGGCCGATCGGGGGTTGTTGTTCGCACTAACTGCAGCGCCGCACCAGTCAACAATTCCCTTCGAACACTGCCTTGCGCGTCTATTTAGCATATTTGGACCACCCCAGCGCGGACATTATTATTAACCTACACGTGTGAAATAGAGAGGTGGTAACCCGACCCTAACCCTACCCTATCCCCGCACCGTCACCCCTACATACTAAAACCAACTGTAGAGTCCTCGTGAAGGCTACTGTTCACAATCGCGTGCCCCGTTTGTCATGTTTTTTTTTCTGTCGTCGTCAGCATCGGCCGGTCAGGGAGATTTGGGCGAAAGGGTGTGGCGATCAACTTCGTCAAGTCCGACGACGTGCGTATCCTGAGAGACATCGAGCAGTACTACTCGACGCAGATCGACGAGATGCCCATGAACATCACCGACATGCTCTAGGGTACTGTAGAAGTAGCCGCTGTAGCTGCTGTTTCGAACGTCAGCAAGACTTGTGTGTTGGTAAACGCTCTACAATGAGATCCGCCATGGAGGTTAATCATGATGGCCGTTGTTTTCATGGGGTGTAAGAGAATTGACCAGGGGTGGTCGGCTGAACGGGTATTGGTTCTCTCTCTCCGCCATCCGCGTTTGATCTGTGGGAAATATGTTGGAACACAGGTGGCGTGGTCTTGTGAGGAAGTACCCCGGTTGGGCGTTTTTTTTGTGCTTTCTCACCAAGTCGGCGGTATTTATGTTGTTCGGCGCAAGCTTCCCCGACCCCCGACCCAACGATGTTGTGTGTCTCTGAAAATGGGGATGAATTATGTTATCACCGCTTGTCTTGTACGGGGCGGGGGCGGTTGGCTGCACGTCCCTCATATTGGAATACTTTGCGGTGGAGGTCCGATGGCAATGCACATCTGTGAGCGTGCTGTTGCTGCCGGGCAAGTAATGTACAAATCGCATGCCGGCGGTTTCACAAAGAGCTGGGTCTAGCGGCGTTTTTTTTTTCGGAGAGGGAGGGGGCATTCTGCCGTAGCTGGATATTTCGTATTATAGGAATGGCACAAGCGTTTTAGTGGGGTGGAAGGGCAGACAAGTGCGCGGGGCGTTGGTCCAACATGCACAATCGTTGAGGTTTTTTCATGACTTTTCGGAGTGATTGGAAGACTGCGTTGCCGCAGAAAAAACTGCAGTTGCCAAAAAAAATAGCAGGGGATTGATTGCTATATGGCGACGTTGTGGCTCGAAAGACGGCGGAGGTATTTTGTACATCTCGATGACTGGCATGTACAGCATCATCGAAGTTTCCTTTCTTCGCCCACAGCAACGGGAAGCATATGATGCCGTGTGTGCGCGGTAGTGAGTGTTGGTTATTTCTCTTGCCGCTCACAGCTGCATGACAGCGGATGTCGACGAATTTGTGTTAGCTCTTGCTCTCCCCAACGGTGTGCATATGCATCAACTCTTTGGTTTTGGCCATCGTGTCGGGCGGTGTAATACTACTTCGGGAACCCCACTTTTAACAGCTGTTGCAACCCACAGAACACGCGCCACCGCCTGATGGGAGGTACGAAAATTAGGGTAAACGCTTCTTGGCTCTCTGGTGTAAACACGTGTATGCCCAGGCGCCGGCTTCGATGCCACACCGGAGCCACGCACGCACGTAATTCGTCCATGCCACCTGCAGAGTAGTTCAAGAAGCTCAAAAATGATGTTTGATCGATCACTGACGCTCAATTTTCATCGCGGCACTGCTACAGTTCGCCCTGGGGCATGGTGGCCATGTACCTGTTGTTGCCTTGGTTCCGGAGTATGCATGCTATGGAGGCCAAGAACGTAGCATATAAAACGGCGTCATAAGTTCTGTAGAGCGGGCTTTGTACAATAAACCGCATCCGTCATCGCACAGGAAGCGTCTAGCACCTCGTCGGAACAAAGAACCTAGCCCGTCCTAGGTTCGCTGCACTGTCATCAAGGCCTGATTGCATCTTGTGTGTGTCAGAGAGCTCGATAACGCGATCACGCCCGCACAACGTTCGAGAGTTCACAGTTCACCTTGTTTCGCCGCCTTTTTTCTTCCCCGAACAGACACTTTCGCACTTTATTTATTGTTTCCCCGCTACCGCTCTACCCTCCCCCCGACTGGATTTCTCTCAACACCCCCCCCACCAAATATATCCTGACACTCACAGGCGCCTTTTTTCTGGCAGCAGTGCACGCCGCATCCTCACCCCGCGTCGACATCCTTTCTGCACCAAGTATGGAAGTCGGGAACATGGCATATCTTGCGGTGAGCAACAACAACGAACGGTTCCCCGGGGTCATGCGGTGGTGTTGGGCCGCATGCTCGCTGTGCTGCAACCGTCTTGTCCTGGCTGTTTGTGCTCGTGTTGTTGGGCTGTCGTAGGGACGCGCGTTGGTGAACAGGAAGAAGGTCGTGCCATGCATTGAGGAAGTGTTGCCTCATGGTCGCGGCGATGACTGCTGCTGTAGTATCATTACTTTATTTTATTTTTCCAAGGAAAAACACACTCCATTTTTTTTCCCGTCATCATTCCGTTTATTATTCTGGACTCGATCCATCATACCTTGGGTACAGTGCTGGACACAACAGCCGGGGTCACAAAGGAGGAAGGCCACGCAGATAGGAGTTGAATTCTCCGCCTTCTTTCCTGCGGTGCTTGCCTTGATTTTACAAGTACTTCTGAAACAGAAGAAAAAGGGCTTGCGTGCCATGTTTGGTCCAGACCAAAACACCCCGTATTCCAGTGGCTGAGGGTATAGGAGCACGCCCTTCCACACTGGGAGTTGCATCGTTTTCTAACCAGCAATTGACGATTGTTTGGGGTGAACGGTACCGAAATCGACCACTGCTGGTACATTCCTCCTCTGCTTCCATTCAGAGTCGTCTCACTCCCCCGGTGCGACAGTTGGTTGCGGATGTTGTGGCCTATCATATATCATAGCAGTGTGCTTGACTTGAGTTGCGATGTACAGCAGTATGGATGTAAACAAACTGTAGAGAAGAAGATGGGTAGAGTACAGTACAGTAGTACACCTACCGCCCAACCATGCCCGACACAACAACACTACAATACAACCACAAACGGATTATTCACACACAACACAAATCACATAATACACATTACATGCATAGTCTACATAGTGTAGTTTTTTTTTGTTGTTGTTGGGTTGATGGGATGACTTGCGGCAGGGGGGGGCAACTACAGCAGCAGCAGCAGCAGCAGCAGCAGCAGCAGCAGCAATACCATAACTTTCCCAGCTCTCTGCTCTGAATAGATATATATATATACCCTCTTTTCACGAAAGAAAAAAAAAGTATGCATACAATAGCCAGGAGTATTACTGCTATCAGTAGTAGTAGTACTCTACCAAAAACTATTACTCCGTATTCTAATAGTAGGCTTGGCATTATATCCGGCGTTCGTTATACCGTACCAACTCGACCCACATCGTCACTGTGCGATCCCTCTGCCTTTGGATTGTGGCAGGTGGTTGTCGAGGCGATCATCGCGCTCGCGGAGACGGGAAAACGCGCTTCTCTCCTGCCGTCGCTGAAGAAGCAGCTGCCAAGGGTGAAGAGCAAGCTGCGGTCGGCGATACAGGCCGGAGTCGAGGACGGCTCGCTAGTGAAGGTGTTCGTCTAAGCGTGTTTGCCTATGCATATGTGACACGTTTTTCTTCAACGTGCGTCGGTCTTGATTATGGCAGTACTTGGCGCTCTCTCCAAGGACTATCGCAAAGGGAGTCGAAGAAAAAACGAGAGCCGCGGCGAGAAAAAAAACGGCATGGTCCAGTGTCCAATGTCCGGTTTCGGAGTAGAATTGTACAAGGAGAATACACAACAACACCACATCGAAAAAATTCTCTGCTCTTCTGCTCTTCTGCTAGCATCTTTTCCTGCAGTTGGCCACTCTCTGCCCGACACTTGTCTTGGTTCAATGGGACTCCTCTCTACACCAGTGGATTCAGAATAGTCTGGAATCGGAATATATTTATCCCTCCCAATCGTTGTTCCTGGAACCCATTTCACTATCTAGACTAGCGTAAATGACACAAGATAACACTCCCCCTGGACAGATTTTGAAATCTGGATTTCTCAACAGCAGAAAGAGCCACAGCGCCGAAAACAGTTGCGTTGAAGCTGTCTCGTCGAGAGCTTTCCGAAAATGTATTGTTTCATTTATGTATCCTCTTCGTCGTGGCGTATTCGAGCTTTGAAAATTGGTCCAGGGGGTGTGTTATCTTGTGTCGTATACGGTATACTCTGAAGGGCCATATACACCTGTTGGCGTTGTTGACGGTTGTACGGAAAAAATAATGTATCGAAGCCCTTGCGTATCTTAACACCAACGTCTATCGCCCCGTTTGTGCCTGCACGAGAAATAGAGAAAGAGCGAAAGAGCGAGAGAGATGGAGAGAGAGAGAAATAGAGAAGAGAGAGAAATAGAGAGAGAGAGAGAGAGAGAGAGAGAAATAGAGATAGAGACGGACAGACGGGCGGACAGAGGGACGACTCGCCACCCCCTAAGTGGACAACGATACAAGGTTGTTGCTGAAACGTTCGTGTATCGCTGTTCTAACAAAAATGCCGACCCACCTAACGGGTTTGTGTGTTCCTTCTATTGTTCCAAGTTCACGAGCATGGCTATTGTGTGTATGTGAGAGCGTATTCCTCTCTTAACAAGCGCTGAAGCAACGTAGAAGCTACCCTGAGCCATCAGCATGGACGCAAAGCTGACCAACCCTTTGCATCCCGTGCGTTTGTTGCCACCGTCGTGATTTTCCCCGGATTTTTCCTGCTTTGGCCGTCAACCTGTGTCCTCGGTACGACAAAAAAATACACGAACACAATTTGGTGGACACGACCCACAAACGAAGGCGATCAGGGGCAGCAGGGACTCTCGACGATATGGTCCCCTTGGGAGCCTCCTCCGGACTCTCGTGCTCATTGTGAGTGATTGACCTCGGTCACAGCGGCCACCACATCCTCCTTATGTCTGACAGAGCAGAAGGGCATGATCCACCGCGAAGTTTACTATAATAGTAATTCAAGCGTTGCAGGAAAGGGGAGCGCAGTGCATCACAGTATAGATATCGTCAAACGTTGCAGAGAGTCAGGCAAGTCGATGTGGGAAACTGTTGGATGGGCTGTTCATCTATTCATGTTCCGGTTGCCTCTTCAAGCAGCGTGTTGAACGTTTGGTTGACGAATATGGTCGCACCTAAGAAGCGTAAAAACACGGTACATGTAGACTATGCGCTTGCTTTCTGCCATTTATGTTGCTGCGTGATCATCCTTCATTTTACGGATGTACTCTCATGTAAACGCATGCCGTAGTCGTTAGACCATTGATCTCGCATCCCTACAATGCCGGCACGGAGCGATATTCCGGATCAATGCCATCCCAGGCTGCAATTCATAAGGACGAACCAGAACAGCTGGTCATCGTCCTTGCGGTTGCTGCGCCAATCCAGATATGCCATGAGTTGATTGGGCATTTGGGGGGGGGGGGTGTACTCATAACCGTGCATGCCGTAGTCGTTAGACCATTGACCTCGCACCCTACAAAGCCGGAACGGAGCACGCCGGGTTCTCACCGGACCAGGCTCTCACATCACCAAGCGCGAAGCGCCGTGTTATTCGGCGAGTCGCATGAAGGGTGCGCTGCATCATGCTAAGGGTGTTCGGCATCTTATGCTTGCTTCCTTGCGTACGGATGACAGCTGCGTATGACTTAATTTATTTTCTGGTGCTTTCACTCCAGGGACAGTTGTAGGCACTGTGTAACTCCCTCGAGGGTGCTTGACCAGTATTAACACGACGTGGTGCGATCATCCCCCTTGCGTGGAGTGAGGGTTCTCGACCCCGCACAACATAATCTACTCGACCACCATCATGGTTGTACCGCAAAAAAAAAAAAAAAGCAAAAAAAAAAACGGTACCCTGGTTGCCGAGCTCACGAAGTGATCGGCTTGTTTTACAACATCGCTGCCAAGCGACGAAAACCCAACCCCGATGGCAAACACCGGGGGGGGCGGGAGGGGTAATTCTACCGCGTGCGTGTCCATTCCGAATCGTGTCAACTCAATAGCCGCTCTGATCCGGGGCTCCTGCCAAACAACTTCACGAGCGAGCACCCTCCGCTCCACTCCTGGTGCCTAGTAGCCAAGTATCATTGATTCTGCACGGCCCGAAAAATATTTCCACAGGCCAAAACCTACAAGCTCGGCTCCGCGGGAGGAAAGACGTCAAGATCATCCGTCGCCAGGGGAAAGAAGAAGCCCATGGTTACCGTTACCAGGAGAAAGGCAGAAGTCGTCAGAGCCAGCGATTCCGCCACCGCCGCTAGGAGGAAAAGCGCCTCGAAAAGGAAGACTAGGGTTTCCACGTCGGCGAAGGCGCCCTCCACCGCCGTCTCGAACGCTGGCAAAAAGATCGCTGCTGTATTTTGGCCCGGGCGACGGACCGGTAAGTCCGCCAGAAAGACCGCTTGCGTCAAGAGAGCCGGGAAGCCGGCAACGGTAGTGTCGAGATGGACAGCGGCAGCAGCCGGGAAAAAGAGGGCGGCGGTAGCGAGAAAGAAGACCGTCACCAAGGGGAGGACCGTCGCAAAGACCAAGGCAACAACGAGCAAGAAGGTTGCCAAAAGATGAGGCGGTATGTGGGGAGCCGGGAGTCCGCTGTGTGGCTGGACTGGCCATTGGCGGTGATCGTGCTGGGGCAGGAGAACAGCGACGTTTGTGGAATAGTTTTTCGTATCTCGAAGAGGGCATGCGCACGTTTGGGAGAAACGATCAGATGGATGCTATGCGATGAGCGCATAACGGTCAAGAGGCGGCTTTTTGTCGACAGTTATCATGGGTAGAGAGAGATCTTGTGGAGGGCGTTGTTGATCCCGGAGAGCTATCTCTTGCGTCTTCGTGAGAGCCAGAGATTCCGGAGATCTCTTACGTCTTCGTGAGTGGTGGGCATGAGCAACCACGTTTCATATAGATTACTGTACCCGGAGTATGTACATTCATGATGGTGGCAATGAGTGGTACAACGGTCCCTCGTCACTTTAAAGGAGACAACAAGCAGTATGCCGAGGGTCTGCCCCTACTTGTTGCGGCGTGTCGTTCTTAGGGATACGAGGATATTGTTGGTGGACATCCTCGACTACATAGCACTGAACTGTGACTCAGGCTCCTAAAGAGTGAAGCACTGGGATCTGCTTCCGTGTGTTGTTGTACGTCAACGTTTTTTTCGCCCTGGCGTTCGTTGTTGTTGTTGTTGTTGTTGCTGTTGCTGTTGTTCCACTATATTTCGAACGTAGGTTTCGACACCAAAACCTGTGCCTACACTCTTCTTGTAATTCTAGGTTTAGCAGGAAGAACAAGGGTGGGGATTTCTGCTGTCTATGTAAGCCTGGCTGGCACGTGAAGCGTGAAATACAACGGAACTTTAGACTGGAGCTAAATAGAGCACATGGGACGAAAATACTGTAATCCACTCTGTTCTCCGTGTTGAGCCCCCGGCGTGATGAACGACGCTGGGCGTCAATCTGGCAGCACGATTCGAAGCAGGGTCAGGAGGAGTGTAGGACACTGAGAGTCGTAGGAACTGTACAGAGAGACGGAATGTGCGTGGTGTTCAGATGCACGTGACAAATGATCAGTCTGTATTATTATCGGCTTGCCCTTGTTTGGCGTAATAAAGTGTCGTGTACAGTACAGCGTAAAAAAGTGTCGTCTACAGTACATAGTTTAGGGCTCCATCCGTTGTGAAACTGCCGATCGACGAAAGAGAGAGAGAGAGAGAGAGAGAGAGAGAGAGATGAACGAACTTGTTTTCAACCCAATACAATCCATACTCAAAAAAACTAAATAGACAACTTCAATTCATTTCTGTAGACAATATCTGCTTCGTTCGGTAGAACTCTATCCATCGACAAAATCAACGCGGTGTCGCAAGGGGGTCGCGGAGTGTTCACATGACCGCCCCTCAATCTTTTACCATCGTACCTCGGAGTATGCATGTACTCACACACACGGTCGAATCAGATTATGTCAAGTCTCTCTCGTTCTTCCTTCCAAGAAGCGGCGAGACTTCATGATACGCACATGCGTGGTCTTCTGCACATATAGATAGGCACCCCAACCACAACTCCCTCGTCGGCATTCTATGCCCACCACGACGTGACGTGCGGAGGTTCATGCTCGAGGGTAAAGACAGTATATCATGCTCAACAAAGGTGCTCGTATCAACAACAGGCTCAAGAATGCCGCCCGTGCCGTCTCCTCCGCGTTAAACAAAGACAGCCGCGAAGCCGGCGCTGACGGAGATGACGATTCCAAAGTAAGTCGAGGTGTCGAGGCCCGTCGACTACTACTACGTGCTACGACCGACCGCACTGTCGCTTAATAACTTGTCGACGACATAGTAGCAATTCAGTTGCTCCGCCGTAGATCAAGCATATGCCTTGCGTTCACGCGTTGCCCACATGACGGCAACCCAACGACTACACTCCATGCGTGCGACGTTCGACAATAATAAATTCTCGGCCGTTCTCCTCGTTTCCTACCGGGTATGTACTTTTAATTAACGTGTTGGACGCGGCGGTGCCACGACGGACCTTTGCGAGCGAGAAGAGCCCTCAACTTCTGTTCAGCGACCTAGAGGTGGACCGACTCAAGATCGCGTTCGACATTCATGCAAACGAAGACGAGCACGTGGTGTACGTCGAAGACTTGAAGGACCTCCTGAAGACGCTCTTTATTGTAGGTGGTCGTGATTGTATGCCTGGGAACCATGTAGATTTAATGTACGCCGCACCTCCCTCTACGCCGACTCTCACCCACAACGTGTGCATGCGTAGTCTACACATGTTGGAGACGACGCGCCTTATGCTACATAGATAGGCGATAGCTACGTGTTCCGGAGAGTTATTCGTGTTGTCATCATCGCCAAAGTTGAACAGTAGGGAGAGGTGCCGTTGAGTCCATCACCGTGTGTGTGGTGGCATTAATGATCGTCCCTCGCGATGTGCCCGTAACATTTGATATCCCGATTCTTCGGGCTCTTGTTGATGAAGGTGCCCACCAAGGCAGAACTGAGCTCATTAACTTCAAAGATGGACTCAGACAAGACGGGCAAGGTAGACTTTGGCTCGTTCTTCGCTGCCATGGCCGCCTTCATGAAGCCGAAGTACGGGCGAGAGAAGCTCGACAGAGCTTTCGACGAAATATCGGGGTGAGCTTCGCAACAACAGCGAGAGGGCACTGCTACAATGAATAGGAGAGGTCAGCCAGCACGACCTGAACCATGAACAACCAATAAACATGTGGTCTACAAACAATGTTCATATTATTGCAGTGTATTCCTCTCTCTACGGTATTACTGCCGATCTTCATTGTTCCTCAGCACGTCACTACTACTGCGCCGTCTGCTACAGATTTCGCACGGCCAACCGCAAATAAATTTCCATTCTTAAAAAAAAAACCGACTTACTACCGGGAAACTGCGGGCAACTTTTCTCTCGTTGTGCCATGTTCCTCTGACACAAATGTTCAGGGGGTTGGATGAAATCGACGCCACTTTTCTCCATCGGACGATGGTTCACCTGGGCCAGTCGACCATTCGCTACGCCGATTGCGAGGCTATGATCTGCGAAGTGGATCGGAATGGTCACGGGCGTATTTCGAAACGTGACTTTCATCATCTGCAAACGTGCACCACCGACAATATATGATTCAAAGTAAAGCAGTGTGGACACGACGCTGGACGTAGGTGTGGTCCACTATTCAGCAACACAACATTTTGTCAGGGGTCAGGAAGGTCATGGCACAATGGCTTTACTATCGTTGGAGGGTGGAACCTCCTGGTTGCAAGAAGATCTTGTTTGTACAGTGGTCCTATTTTCGATAAACCTAGCACAGGATGCGAGCAGCAAATAAATGTCAATTGAGTATTGAATATTGAAGACGATGGTGTGATTGTGGGCGACAAGCAGAATAACGTGAGCTTCTTCTCTATTGGAATCGTGTTGAGGGCTCAATTTAGCAGCGACGAGCTTGCAACAAACTCTCTCGCACACGATCGCGCATGATCTCTTCTTGCTTAAAGCTGGCGCCCTGCCGTAGAAAAAAGTGATTACAGCTACCGCTCGAGAGCAACGCGGGTACCGAAACGCGCCGCATAGATAGTCAGACGCGGCTGTTGGTGATGCTATTTAGTACAATAGCGCATGATTCAACGGCCAAGCAAGCCAGAAGCCGAAAAACACGAGGTACTACAGTACCGCTGTAACGAAACGATGTGGTC